TGTACAACCTGTCGCTATCAACAAGCTCTGTAAAGCCTATCATATTAAAGTTTTGAGTTACATACAATGGCTCATAATAACAAAGGGTGGTACTTTGCAATGTGCATAAAACATCTTATGTTAAATACATCTTTAGTAGTTTCTCTGCAAGTATTTCTTTACTGGTTTTATTTAGAGATAGGCACTCTCTATATTAAGTACAATACTAATACCATACTTATCCAAACACTTGACTAACTGACATTAGATACAGACAGTATCTACCCTTTTCCACTTACATAAATAGGGATAGAACGAGCTCTGTGGTTGTATTTATAACTTACATCATATTTGGAATATCCTTCTATCTCAACTATCGTTTTCTTACAAATCTCAGGTTATTTCAAGAAGAATACATTGTTATGTCTAAAGATAGGAAGGCATACTATGGGACAGATTCTACTGAGTATTATCAATTTATCCTGGACAAATATGAAATCCTTTGAAAAACAGACACCAGCGGCCAGTTTGAACAGAGAAGTGTGAAAAAGGAAAGCAAAACGTCTGGAAAGTGTGTTTAGGAGGAGGGACCTTGATGGTGATTTTCCATGCTGACTCTTGGTATGAGTATCTTTCCCTCCACTCTCTCATCCACATTTACACATACTAGCCTCCTGAATGAAGGCTGAAAGTAAGGGGCAGTCGCCTTCCAAATGTTAGTAAATCTTGGCACATCTATTTTATCTGCTCCTTATGGGAAAACAGATCAAATGACCTTCCATCCACTAATGCAGTCAACATGGTTAGCGTTGTTTAATTAGAATGAAGAAATACAAATCCTAATTTCTGGCAGAGAATTATTTTATTTTTGTTTCTGAAGCTTGGTGAAGACTTGAAGACATTAAAATTTTATGGACTCTTTCACATCATACTGAGAACTTTGAGGACTAAGGTATGCCAGATGCACACCTTGGTATTTTCAATAACCTCGCAAGCATATGAAAACTGGACAATGGATAAGGGAAACCAGAGAAGAGTTGATGCAGTTGAATTATGGCATGGTATTTTAAGTTCTATGAACTGCCCGAAGAACAAGCCAATGTATCTTGGAAATACAGCTAGCATGCTCCTTGGGCTCGAGCTTAGTGAGCCTTCACCTCATGTACTTTGGACGTTATCAAGAGAGGCCCGTCCCTGGAGAAGGGCCTCGTGCTTGGTCAAGTAGAGGTCCATGAAAAAACGGGGAAGACCTTCAAGGAGATGGGCTGAGACAGTGGTTGTAACAATGGGCTCAGGCATAACAACTGTGAGGGTGGGGCAGGACAAGGCAGCGTGTCCCTCTGGTGTCCACAACTTTGCTATACTGGGTGGCACCTGAGAACGGTGAGGCCTCCAGTTCTCCCCCTGCTCGCTATCCATCTTTTTTTACTCTCCATAGCACTTAAAAAATCCATTCAGATCCTTTGTTTCATTTTATTACATAAATCACGTTTTT